ATAGTCTATCATTTGGCATAGACACTGTATTAGGTAATTTGGGGTTAACAATACCAGACCTTGATCTGCCACTTTTTAACTGTGTATAAGTCAGTTCTTAATTGACTTACTAAGGTAATTATTCTTCTTTTTAAACAAAGTAGTCTAGCATGCAGAAAGATGTACTCTGTCAAATGTTCAGGAGAATCAAAGTTCCTCACTATTCCAGAGGTTTTTACTACACCTTTCTTCAATTTTTTGGCAACTTCTGGCTTAAGTATAACCTAGAGCTGCTCTACAATTTCCTCAATATCCCTGCCTTGGATCTGCATCCTAAGGCCTTTGCTGACATACAAATTTGATGTTCTGGGAAGGGTCACAATTCATGTAACTAGAAACACAATGTATCTCCAACATCATGTGCTCTTTCCTCTAAACTGAGCTTAGAAAAAAAAAATCCAGGTGTAGTTTTATATTCCTCAACAATATATTCCTTCCAAACGTTTTTATCTCTCTTAAAGCAGGCCTTGTTAAAATATCACTAAAAGGGAGATAAAATTGACAAGTCTGACATCTGAAAGAAGAGAAGAGTTTGACAGGGTTTCACAATTTGCTTAAACTTTTCAGCATGTTGGAGACATTTTGACTAAGGGTTTGGCTAAATTCCAATAATGTGCAGCTGAACTGAATTTTTAAAAATCCATACTAACTATACATTCTTTAGAAACTAATTTTTAAAAAGCTCTATTAACAACTACACATTCTTTAGAAATGACGTAAAACTAAGCTCTTACCTAAGGCATATCTCGCTGTTAACATGGGAGGCATCACAGTCCAGATTTTACTATCTGGATCAAAACATTCCACAATGTTTAAAGTTTTAAAATCATTTCCTCCTCCGAGGACATACAGCTTATTATTAATAACTGCAACCCCAAACTGAACCCTAAGGTTACTCATGGTGCCACAGTGTTGCCAGCTATTGGTCCTGAGGTCATATTTTTCAACTGTAGGGGTACCTGTAAAAGGGGATATTGAAAAGTTAAAAAACACATAGATAAAAGTGTTGAATTGGCACCATTCACACTTTATTTCTGTACTGATAATTTATAGCATAGAATCAGTAATTGCAACTCAAAGTAAAGTAAGTAGACCAGATGATTCTCCAACTTGGCAGGCAAGACAAGAGGAACATTTTACCACTCCTGGATCTAAATACGTTTCAGAATGAAATAGTTTATTTACAAATACATGGCTTACGTGCTCATGATGGCTTCTTTGGCTATGCTATGCTACTGGTAGTACTAACACAGGTGGCAAACACAAAAAATTGTCTTGGAATCTATCACTGACTTATTTACACATCCACTATGGTTTTAATTACTTATTCATTCAATATATTATACATATAATTATACCATTCAATATATTAATTTGGGCCCTTTTTAAAATTCAGCTTGGGGTGCGTGTAAGCTAATCTAAAATGCAAACGACTTAAGGTGCAGGAATGAAAATCCCTTTTAAATGGGTCTTTCGTGTTGATTCAAAGAATGTTTCATGATGGTGACTCAAAGGATTATAATTAAGAATAAAATTAATTATTAGTATTAGTATTAAAATATGACATTGAATTATTACCTCCTTTATGTGTTAATATTTCGTTTTCTATTCAGTTACTGAAATTCCAAGTTTACTACCATAGTATATTGTCACCACTGCCATCAAAATTGTCATTACTTCATAATAAGTTATCATTTCTGTAGGCAGTACTTTTTGCCAGTCATTCACAATGCCTGCTAAATTTTACTAAAAGTTGATTTTGTACAACAGGGATGTTTCTAACTAATAACCAAGGTAGAAAATGGAAGTATTATTATTCAAATATAAAGCATACCTAAGACAGCTTAGTGATTTCCTCTATGTTTAAAATGATCTAAAAATGAATAATTTGTTTCTTGCCATACCATCTCTGAGAGTTCATTGTTTTTAATAAATGAAAAGCCATTGATTACGTTGTATGTACAAAAGCCCAAAGTTTACCATTTGGCCATTTACAAATTTTTACTCCGTGATTATGCTTACAGTTTCTGATGATTATTTTAAATGGTAGGAGTGATAGTTAGCCCCAGCTACTTGTGTGATATCTGTATTGAGCAACTAATTCCAAGTTACTTGCATGAGTCAGTGAGGAAATTGAAGACTGAGGAAGCACTGACTTTTTCCTAAACATCAAAAGGTGTAAGTTCAAAAAATATCTTAAAAAGAAAGGTAATTGTAACAACACACTAAGAACAGGCATATCTGCAGAAATTCTTATTTAAAGTTTTATGAAGGAGTGAAAATTGGTACATTCTAAAATGTAATACTGATTTTTGTAAATAAATGCTATCTCAGTAATGGTTTTGATATACTTAGGTCTTTTTCCTTTTTCCTTTTTTGTTCCTAAGTGCTCATGCCAGTTCTTCAGCAGATTCTAAAACCCTCAAAGAGGGGAATCAGTTTTGATGTTGTTGCTCTCTCTTCTAAAATAGTGGCAACATAGCAAAAAGGAACATAGGATTTGAGTGAGAATTCCGTTTCTAGTATTTCTAGGTATTTGTCCTTGGCTTGGCTATCTAAACTGAAGAAACTTATAGTTTCTTCATCTGCAAAATTAGATAATAAATCTACCTTGTAGCCTTATTGTAAGGATTAGAAATGATGTTTACAAAACACCAATCAAGGATCAGATACTCAAATGAGTAGCTTTACTACTATTTTAGTTGGCTGCAACTTCCCACAGGGCCTTTTATGTCTCCATGCTGTATGTACACAAAAAGTTTCAGAATCATGGACTTCCTTTCTTCCATATAAAACTGTGGTAATAGAGTCAAGGGACTGTAGAGTCACATTTGACACATTTTCAGAAACTGATGAGTTGTAAATACTCATTACCATGTTTTGTAACAATAAAAAAAGAAAACAAATGCAAAACCAAACAAACATAAACATTTTCCACTTCTCACATTGCAAGTTAGGTTCTTTTTTTTAAATCAGAAATTAAGAATGACTGTAATTGCATTTTGCATTTAATAACTCTTTAACTTAAATATCAAACAAAACACATTTCAACATGCTGTTAATACTCATTCTATTCAATAAAATGCAATAAAATAACAAGTTGCCAGACCTGAAATTAATTATAAGATTTCATTGTATTTGTTCTTTTCTGAAGAATACTAGTTTTGTGAGGTTACTCTACTACTTTGGAAACAATTATATTTGCAAGCTCTTGTTTTATAGATTTGTGATTAATTGGCATTACTTCCTGTATCACCTTCAATTTCCATATTAAAATTATAACTACACATATCAAAAGAAAGGATCAGTTTCTAGTAGCACAAAACTTTGAAGTTTGCATCATTTTCTACAAGGTGTCCAATGAAATTTCTACATACGACTTGCCAAGTATTAAGTAGTTTGATTTTATTTCCTAAACAGTCAACTCTTAATTACAAAATCCTCATTCCACNATAAAAGGGTTAAATTCCATAAGAAAAAAGTCACAAAATTACATAAAGAAGCCTAAAATTAGCTTTAGATGCCAATATTTAAATACCACCATCATAATTGTGAGGGTGTTAAGAATATATCCTCTCTTTAAAATGATATTTTCAATTAATTAGCTTGTTCCTGCTACCTCTCATAGCATCCATGCCTCCCACAGCATAAAGCGTCCCCACAGTAGATTTTCTAGGCTTGGTCTGAGGGCTTTGCAGCATGTGTCTTCTTTCAGGGAAGAGATGATACTTCATAGCTTCTATCAGGAGTTTTTGGCTCTGCAGATCAGTAGTGAACACGGGTCTGTCTTCAAGACCCGCCAGTAACTGAAAAGTAATAATTCACAGTATATGAAATGAGGAGCCCACGATTAGAAAGAACATATTCATTTAGAGAACATTGGAGAAAACTCGAGCTAATTCAAATGTAGAAATGCTATCATTTAATATTTTAAGTTGCTTAGTGACATACTTTGTGTTCACTGATGATTTGAAGTGACTAAAGCTCTCCATGTAGTAGCTAAAGGACTCTGCAGATTTGACATATTACCCATCTTTGCAATGCATACACATTCACTCTCAAGGAGTGAAAGAGAAAAGCACTCAGGATATGTGTTTCTTAAAGCAGTCAAAGTGAAGGACTGCGTGTATGTACACAAAGCAAGCATCTCCTAGTCTATTGCATGTAGCCAGACAAGCAGCCACCTTTATGCTAGATTTAGAGGAGGGAATACCAACATGCCCAGTGAAAATGAAACAGCACTGCCTGCAGGGTGTCACATCTTTATCATCTAATCACTTTTATAAGGTATTCTGAAAACAGGAGCTTTTTATCTGTACGCATGTACATGTGTACATGAGTGAATTACATGTGTTAGCAAAAAGGCAACACATCAGCAAGAGTAAATGGCCAGTCCTTTCTGGCCAAACCATCACAGCCTGACAGACAGTAAGACCCTAACAGAATGGGATAAACATTAGGTAGAGTATTTTTCCTGAGATGAGCTGAGGAATTATGTTTGTTTCAGAATTTATCAAGCATCATTTAGATTGGGTCCTTGGGGTTTGGGGTCCACAGTATCACAGGGTATTGAGAAGAGTATAAGATTGTTGTAATGAAGTTGCTAATTTCACTCCCAAAAATTTCCCTGAAGGTTCCTGTTCCACACTGCTTAATCTCACCTCTGTTCTCACTTTACCTATAATTTCGAATGGATAACTATTTTTACTTGGCTGGTGAAACCCTAGGCAGTTTCTAATGCATACACTCCTGAAAACACATTTGTAAATTGGGCTGTGTAATTTTTTTTCTTCCAAAAATATTCTCCAACGTTTTACTACCATTCACTTCATATATTTCATGTCTAGAATATACCATTCACTTCATATATTTCATATCTAGAATATTTGTTTAAGGTCACTTTCAAAATTATTTTGGAAAGTCTATATTCTGTATGCCATTACCCGCCACTGTCATCAGCAGCAAAAGTCCGTAGGAGACCACATTGTAGGCTCTAAGGCCTGCTCAGGGGTGGGAGGCCAAGGTATCACTGGTTATATTGGCTGGAAATGTACCCACCTTCTAGTAAAGTAAGAGAAGTCCAAACTAAGCACTTTGCTGAAAGAATGTCATATTGACTTAAAGCAGTGTAGAGTCAAATGGGTCTGATCCTTTACACCAGTGCATATCAAGTGTTTACATACCTAAGAACCATTTGGAGAACTTGTTAAAACACAAATTCCTTCTCCCTGTACCCAGAAAGTGTTTCAGTATGTATGTGGTAGGAGTCAGAAACTGAGTTTCTAACAAGCTTCCAGAAAATGACATGCAGCTGGTCCATGGACATTTTGAGAAGCACTGACTTAGAAAATCTGTA